CTTACGGTTCCAAAACGCTTTCCAGTCAGCGTCCTGCCCAAAAAGCTTCCTTTCTTTGCTTTCTCTGACACAATTTCCAGTGGTTCCTTGGTGATTGCTTGGCTTTTTGGCTCCTTGTTGCCTTTACGCGGCTGCTGGTGAGGCGCCGGCAGCAGCATGAAGCCCTCCTTTCACCCGAGCCTGCTCTGACCGCTCTCGCCCGGGGCCGTGGCTCCGGGCTGGTTCCTCTGCAGTCCCTTTGCTGGAGCAGGAGAGCTGAACTTTCACCTCTGTTTATCCAAAAATTATAGCCTTTTTTTTTTCCCCTTGCATATATTAGCACCAACAAGCTTCCATCCCGTCGTCGGTGCCCCAGCACAGACTCCTATTTCAGCTTTGCGAGCTGAACTGGGTGCAAGGAGGTACAGCTGGGTTCCTTGTGGGTGCTGAGCACAGTCCTTCAGCGGGGCAGAAGGCAATCTGTACCCTGCTCAGGACCTTAAAGCATCTGTGCCCTGCATTTGCTTACTGGAAGGAGCTGAATTGCTTTATTCTGGGGGGAAAGGGGGGAAGGTTTGAGGGCTGCGGACTGGGTGGATGTTGTCATTTGCTCCAGTGCTCTGGCTTCCGAGTGTTGGAGATGCGTGGTCCCCTCCCGGAGCTGCCGGGCTCCCTGTTCTCCCTGGTGCTCAGCGTTTCTGAGCAGGTTCCTTTCTGGTTTCTCAGCAAGGAACTGTTGCTGATTTGGAGGCATGACTGGGGTTTTCACATCATCTGTCTCACCTCCCCTCTGGGAAAAAACATTAAGGTCTTGAAAAATATTTAGTGGTCTCTAATGAAGGGATGCACGAGGAAGCACAACACACAGCTGAACTATTTTTCAGTACGAATAACAGAGGGTAAATTTGCACTAATGCATTAAAATAAATAAGAAATGACTTCACGATGCAAAAATATCAAATCTCAGACAGTGAATGATTTTTCTGTAATGAAGTTTCTTAGGAATCAGATTTCTGATAGTGAGATGAGAGAAGGGGAATGACATTTTGGCATTGAGTAAGGGATGCTGCTTTTACTGCTAAATATGGTAGTTTCCATTTATCATGTAGGAGCAAATGCATCCTGGGGCAGAAGACTGTGTGTTCTCTGCAGGTTCAAGAAATTAAAATGGGAATATTATTAGATGAAAAGAGCAGCTTCCGTTGTGGCTGTCTATTTACAGACATAATAGGCGCTCGCGATGTTATGAGCTCATGCCCAGAGAAAGCCATCTGCTCTGCTGCTAGCACGCACCTTTGTCTCGGCACTTAGGGACTGATGAATGTCCCTCAATTTCACTTGCCAAGATAAAGAGACTTTCCTTTTTCTACAAAAACAAACCATTACAGATAATTCAGAAAACTTTCCTTGCAGCTGGGGTCAGCTAAGGCTAGTTTGGCTCCGAAGCGGTGTGGATCTTTACCCCCTTTTATGGGCCTGAACTGAGAAGTTGGTGCATTAGAGGAAGTCTAGCAGAGCCACTGCCTGTTCTGGTGGATAAAAAGCTCCTCTTTTCAAGGAGAGAATTTGCCTTTTGTGAAAGGTGGTGGCTCCCCATCCCCGCGACTAAATCGGATCCTTATTTACGGAGGAGGAGCAACGGGTGAAGGAGCAGAGTGAGCCTCTGCACGCACGCTTGACCTGGAAAGACCTATTGAGGCTGGATGCGTGCTCCAGGAGCCATCCTCACCCACCCCAGCCCGCGGACGGGACGGCTCACCAGCGTCTCATCGGTGGTCCCGGAGCACGGATAGAGCCATCGGGCTGGGACCAACACATCACCTGTGTACGCGTGGCCAGCGACACTCAGACGTCGGTAAAGAGAGCCCCGATGCTCAAGCACGCTTTAACGAGAGTTAGCTGTATCCTGAGCAGATGCCTCACAAATATTGGCATAAACACGGATGCTGCAAGCGCCCACGCTGAAGGGCCAAGGCAGTGCCACAATAACCAACACCCAGATCGGTTTGCCACCTACCGCTCTCCCCACGGAGCACTCTCCTCTCGCCCTCTGCTCCAGAAGTAACGTGCCCTCCTACAACGCACCCTTTTCCCCAGGATCTGGCCCCAGGTTTGGGTAAGATTGCCTCAGTTTCCCCAGCCGTGAGGTCACAGGCTGGAGGAGGGCAGCCAGCTCAGAGCTGGGAGCGCATCCCCTCTGGCAGAAGCTGCAGCGCTCGGGCACAGTCAAGGTTTCGGTCGCTGCTTCTCAGAAAACTGGGAGGCCCCAGGTTTTCACATATTTTTTTTGTCTCGTTACAATACTCTGAGTGAAAGTAAATGGGTAGCTGCATTCAGGCAGTAGTTCTGTTTGTCTGTCCTTGTACGAGCTGAGCTCCTGCCCCCAGAATTTGAAAGACATGGATTTTTGTCAATTGACCTAACCCCAGTTAAGGAGTCTCGTTTTTAGCCTCAAAGGATTAAAGTGAAATGTATGCCCGGCCTCCCCCTCCCCTCCTCCCTCCCTTCCTCCCATGTTTTTCAGGACTTTCTTTTAAAATGCAGAGGCTTTGAACCCCTTAAAGGACCAAGGTTAGTTTCCTGCCAGTTTTATTTTAGCTTTCAGAATGCTAGGAAGGGAAAGAAGATGGAAAAGTGCTACGAGGGGGGGAATATCCTTATCACCGACCCGTGAACTTTGCACTTCCCATCCGCTGGGTTTTACTGTTCTGTTCATGCAGGGGAGCAATACAAAACCACACAATTGTCTCCTCTCAAACAAAGATTAAGGAGAATCGTTAAAAAACCAGACTTTTCTTGCAAATTCTTCTGTGGTGGGCTTGTATTGTATTAAATCCGATTTCTTCCAAACAGCTGCATCTTTAGATGAAGTATGTTGTTCACCATTCATTTGTCTTCTGACAGCAGTTTTTCTGTCTGCTTAGAGCCGTATTTGAATTTTTCTCATGGAATTTTGCCACTGAGCTTAAAAGGAGTCGATTTTAGCCACAAATGAAAGCCAACATGATATATAAAATTGTTAAGTTTTGCAGTGTGAAATATCTAACTTATTTCCTAGTTTTTAATATAGTTTGTAGGAACCAAATCTCACATTACATGCAGCTGAAAGCTTGTCTCATTGTAAGCTGAAAGTCAAAGTTTGTGCCACATTTATATACAACCCTTTCTTAAGCTTATGTTAAAGTGTCTTTGTGATACCGACTTCAAGTACAAAAAGAAAAGCCCTAACCAAGGGATATTTTTCACGAATCTGAAACAAACAACAGGGACAGAGAAGTCCTTAAGGTGTCATCTGCAGTGACACAATGAGAGTTGCGATGTGAATTACAACCATTTCCCCAGCAACAGTTTGGAGGAGTAGCTCGAACAGTGATTACTTTCCAAAACCTCGGAGATCGTCTCTCTCACTTTAAACAGAACCAGTTGCCTCTCCCACCCCAACCGTAGCACAGCTCAAGCAAGAGGAATGAGATCTGCCCGTATAGAAAAAACACTGCTAATCTCCATTGAAACGTACAGCTCGAGCCCATCCGCGGCTAGTTTTATCTCGCGGATTTGCCTCAGCTTTCAGAAAACACTGCAACCCTTTTTTCGGCGCTGACATTAAATCTGGATGCTTTTCCGCGGAGTTAGAAAGTGAGGAAATAGGAACTTACCGCGGCTGGGGCTGAGCTCATGCCGGCGGCTCAGCAGATTTCAGCCCGATTCCTCCCTGACAGCCCCCATTTATCCTTTTTGTGTCCGTGGAACGCCAGCCG